CTCAAGTCACATTTCACAGGAAATCCAATGCCAGCACCTGTGGGTGAGACAAGACCAAGAATAACCACAACACCAAGGGTAAGGCATTAACACTCAAGCTCCCAGCCAGCCTCACAATCCCATATGTAGTCAGTAGCACTTACTTAGTCCTACATCAGTGTAGTAGACTCCTACCAAGCAAATCACCCTGCAGAAGAGAAGAGATCAGCTGCACTCAGCAAATACCTTGCAGTGATAAAACCTCCCAACCCTCATTCAAGCTCAACTTACATTAAATTAACTCCAAGCGCCATCATTTGCTACAAAAACACAATAACTGGACTAAGGTGAAATCAGCCAGAGAGCAGCTGCATGGCCTTCAGTCTTACACAGTTTGTCTCAGCTACGCACTCACATGCAGGATAGCCAGCTCTGTGACACTTCCAGCTTTTAACTTTCCCGCCTCATGCAGTCTAATTAGATGCAGCTGGTAACTATGGAAACCACAACTGGCAAACAATCAGCCTCAGACCTGACAAGTACTGAGAAAAATATGATAGTGGTTCTTCATTTGTACTGCATACAAGTGTATATATAACATACAGGGGTGCCTGCAGTTCTACACCTGTATGCATTGTGCAAACCCTTGGCATTTAGACTAATTATTACGCAAACGTTTCATGTGTGATTTGCCTCATTATGTCTGCAAGAGAAATGAAAAAAGGAGGATTGAGCTTCATGATTCTGGGCGAGAATATATCTCACCATTTTGTCCTCACTTAGAATCAAGATTGTATGTAGCCCTTGCAAAAGTGGCTGTTTTTTTTCAACCACTGATTTTTTTCTCCCTCCTTGTCCCTTCTGGAGGTCTGTAAGATTGTGATTTTCTCTCACAATTCTTTAGCAATAAGCTTCCCTCCACCCACCCAGATGCCGGGTAAAACATTTGGCCGGACACCAACTTTTCGGTACTATATGTACATTTATTTACGTCCACAATTTATTAAGCAGATTAGTAGTACATCCAAAATATTAATGTGATGCATTTTGTGACACCAAAAAGTTAGTAATCTGTATAAACGTGGCATATCTTTATCTTTATTAAATTCCATTAGCGGGGCACACCGCATAATACTGTTTTGGTATACTATGGTTTGGTACACTATGGTTGGTTATACTATGGTTTGGTACACTACGGTTGGTTATACTATGGTTTGGTACACTATGGTTGGTTATACTATGGTTTGGTACACTATGGTTTGTTATACTATGGTTTGGTACACTATGGTTTGGTATACTATGGTTTGGTACACTGAAGTGGCGGTAAAGAAAGGAACAGCTCAGCAGCCAGGACATATGTTAAAAGAGGAGATCTTGTGAATAAACAAGATAATTAGGTTTATATTACTTTGTCGGGACCAAATGTCCCCCACAATGTAATAAAAACCTGTTTTTTTGATGTTGTGTGGGACATTTTTCATGTCCTCACAAAGATCTGTGAATGCAATCAAAAAAGTAAAAATGCCGAAAGTCTCATATTTTTGTTTGGTTATTTATGGTTAAGGTTAGGCCTGCGTAGGGGTTAAGGGTGTCATGTTGTAATTAATGTTTTCTCCATAGAAATGAATGGAGAGTCCCCACAAAGATATAATTACCTGTGTGTGTGTGTGTATGTGTGTGTGTGTGAGAGAGAGAGAGAGAGAGAGAGAGAGAGACGGGGGGGGGGGAAACTTTCTTGTTACAGAATTTTAAACTTGTAATGTTATTTTCATTCCAACCAGCTCAATTTTTAACTTGTCCAGTTATGTTGTTTCAGACTGGCACAGCAGCTAAGCAGCCCACTGGGAATTTTCCAGAGTCCCTTGATTGGCCACCCTGGGTCTGGTTAACGGCATCTGGTTTTACTCTCAAACCACATTTTGGTGCAACCTTGCAATTGCACCATTTTTTTACAGATGTTTATATACAGTATGCAGTGCCATTGAAAAGGTTGGATATGCCAAGCGTCTTCAAATGAGAGTGATGGTGTTGCATCACATGACCTGGCCACCTGACTAAACACAGTAGGAATGGTTTTGGAGAAGTTTGTCCATAGAGTGAAGGAATAGTGGCCAATGACTACTCAGCATATTTGTCAGATGACCTCGGCAACCTTCTGAGTCCCAACGTACAGATCTGCCCCCCCCCCATACACAAACAAATTCAATTGTTTTGTTTAATAGTTTTTTGGTCATTGCATAATTCCATAGGTGTTACTTTACAGTTTTGATGTCTTCATATTTCTAGCTCTCTGTTATTTGTGTTCTTGAAAGGAATCCTGTGGGTTTTATGGTAGCAAATTTATTCACTGAAATATTTGTAATACCACATAATACGTCTCCCAATCCAAGTTGGTTTTATACTGGTGGGCTACGTGGCTACTTGTCCAATCAAAGTTTCAAACAGTTCTGTGGTGGAAATTAGGCGTTATGGTCATCGAATTCTTAATACTGCATATGGTAATAACAAATATACAGGTATATCTCTGAGTCCATATCTTTATAATAACACATAATGTTTCAAATTTATTCTACTGTACTTTTTTAATGAATAAAAACTACACTTTATGGTCATTTAGCTACCAGTTATGTATTTACGATTCAGATAGTTTTACTAAGGAATTTCCATTTCATTTTAATCAGCTGGCTGCACAGTTTTACATGACTGTTTCTCTCTACATAACATTGCCATGCTAACACACCAACAAAAGAAAGAACATCATTGTAGTAGGAAAGCACATCTATAGTTTCCTTTGCTGTCCAGTTTCATTCCCATTGTGTCCTCCAAATCACAGCTCTTGTCAACCCAAGAATTAAATCAGCCTTTTCACACTATCATGATTTTTCCTCACTGTGTCGCCATGTTTGCCAGTTTGGAAAAGCACATGTTCGTCAATCAAACTATCAATGCTCATTGATGTTGGCACTTTCAAATTTAAGAAATAAGGGAGACCACTCCAGCCCTCTGGGTACACAAAGATAAAATTTGCTAGGGGGGGTTGTTCAATCACGCAGCCTGAAACGAGACAAATTACATTCTATATTGGTTCAATACAGGCTCGCATAATATACAGGACAGGTGCAAACTCCCAAAATACTTAATTGCACAACCACACTGACGTGTTCCTTTGGGATAATATAAAAACTGAACAAAAATGTTCTTATTTATACTATATAGACAAGAACAGTATTCAGTTCAATTAAATTTATTTTTATATAGCGCCTTTCACAACAGAGTTGTTCCAAAGGGCTTTACATGGATGTGTTGTGATTCATTAAACATCATTGTACAAATCAAAACCTTTTTTTACTGTTGGTTTTTCAATTGGAGTATACTAATTCATTGTCCACAAAACAACAAGGATGTGACGCCCAGCTCCGTCCAATCCTCGTGTGTGCCACGGCCACCTCGTTACCTCGTGTTAATCCCTGATTGTACTCACCTGTTGCCTGTTCCTTTTGCCTAGTCTTGTGTATTTAGTCCGAGTCTCAGTCACTCTTCCCCAGATAAGTCATTGTGGTGTCATGTTCAATGTTTGTCGCCATTCTGCCCCGGAATAAACCCCCTTTCTACGTATTCCCGGCTCCACTCGCCTGCTTCCCGGATCGCCTGTTCCTGATCGTGACAAAGGAATATTGTCAAACAAGTGTCTTTATCTTGCCTAATGGCTGAACTCACGTTCCGAATGCTTAAACCTGGTTCATCGCTCTCCTTTTAAAACATGCACACGTATATCACACACATATATCATGCACACATATCACACACATATACACTCACCTAAAGGATTATTAGGAACACCTGTTCAATTTCTCATTAATGCAATTATCTAATCAACCAATCACATGGCAGTTGCT